TATGCGTTTATCCAAATAAGTAATCAATTTAAAAAGTAGGGGAATGGCGACACAGATGGTAACTGAAGTTGGCAACTGAGGCTCAATTCCAGCATAATTCCTTTGTGACATTTAATTTCACTTAATGGGAAATGTTAACCATAGATCAACTTTATCGTGTCTAAAAATCAAGGCGCTATATACTAGTTAATACCAGTTAATTAATATACTAGTTAATTATATATGAAGATCTGTCATATTAATGAAAAAACGTTTATAAATGGGCTTAAATTATAAACTAAAGTAAGCGCAACACTTTCTTAACACAATCCTAAACCCAACCTTTACCAGGGTGAGTTGTACCACAGACCACCTCATAAATGTGACAAAGTATAAGGTACCCAACCTAATTGCTGTAAACACTTTAATACTCTTATGCCATCCGTATGTAATGGTGCATGATTGATGTTTACTCTACTGGAGGATGTTAAAAATGGAAATGCGTTTTCAGGGATTACCAACATTTCCTGGACCCCAATATGATGCCTGGCTTATGAGCCTTTTAGACTCCACTTAGTGGAGGTGTTAAAAAAAAAAAAATAATTTTACACATCTCAATTGTGAGAAATAACAAAGGGTAAATGTGGGCAGAGTTCTAAAGAAACACAATTTCTTTTGGATAGCCATAACTCTGTGGTAAGATGAAGTATTAGAAACTTACACAAATTATATATTCTTCTTTTCAATTCTTACTTTTGTTTTGAAGTGTCTGCCCCACCAATAAGAAAGGCTCCCTTACTACTTAACCTACCTACCTACCTAAAACTGTAACCTAAAACCTACTAATTTCCTTAGACTGTTACTACTAGCGAGACTTTATGGCATTGTTTGTTTTCAGTTGGCTTTATTGTTTCTTTTAAGAGTTTTTATGGATTATCTTTTTATTCTTGGTTTTCTGTTAGTCACTCTCCATGTACATGTTCAGTTGGATCCAACATAGTCCACGTATCGGTAAAGAAATTAAGAAATATTTAAATATAACAAGCAAATGTGACTGACCATTTTTTTTGTTATGTTAGACCTAGTTTGGCGGGCCTTTTTGTTCTTTTAGAATATAATTCATTACAAGGTTCCTGACTACTAGCTCTTACCAGCTCTCACCCGCCTAGGTGTTAAAAATAATCAACAGATAATTAACTCTCTGCCTGAAGCCACTAATAGGAACCAAATAACTCTGAATTTATCACTAAATCTAAGATAACACATCGAGTGCTATGGAAAAATTGTACGCTGTCTTTGAGGCCATTGGTAATATGATCAGTCCATACATCAGAATCTGTTTCCATTCATAATACTTATTTTTACATGTCCCACTACACCTGTGGTTCCAGACATATTCATCCCACTCTCCATCTCACCAACCAAAGCATCTTTTGATTCGATTAAATTGCATTTTCTTTTTTTAACTGTCTTCCCTCCTGTTGCCATTGGTAACCATTAAATAACATTGATCATCTAGGTCGTTTAAATGCACAATGACATTCATGCTGTGCTTTGCGTATATCATTTATGATTAAATATGGAACTTTAAAAGGCTAAACATGAGGTGGAGCCTTGGACATAAACTCTGAGCTACAGCTATGATTTATAAAGGAAAATTGCTTGGTTTGGTGCGTATACATGGTTTTAAAAATGTTATTTTATTTTGATGTTCTCCATTTTTTTATGTTTTTCATATGTACACTTTTAGTATGGATCCTACGCAGTGTTTTAAAATATGATTTGGAGTGTCGAATTTTTCTTTTCCCTAAATGACAATCATCGTTGAAAACTGCAGTTTTGAGTTTAGGAAAATCTTTGTCTCATAGAAATAGTTTGATCTAAAACATGTATGCATGACAGTAAGGAAATATCAACTTCATCGATTTCTGCCTTATGTTATTCTGTTGTTGGACAATTGGGCAATTCAAGCACTTGAGTAAATCAAATTTTAGACCAGTAACAAGTTTTACAATAGAATGCAATGTAGTAGGGCTGAAGTGACTCAGAATGTCTTCCCAGTAAGTAAAAGTCATTAAAAAGTGATGTGAGCCACAACTCCTGCTAAAAACTGCTCTAACTTACTTAGCCCCTATAATATGCGCTCCCCAAATCTGACCTGATTTGCTGTTAATAGCAGTGGTGGTTGTAGGGAATGACCAATCGCAGCAGCTCACTGGCTTCCTTAAGCAGACGCTTCCTGCTTCATGTGTAATGGGCCGAGTCTCTAAGTGCTCAGGAGAGAGCTCTCGGTCCGTTTCCTATCGTCTCACTCAATAATGTGGTAATTTGTAATCTCTTGTTCCTCCCTCAAACATAAATTCATAATGCAAGGTGCGCCACAGCAAAATGCAGGAGGCCTAAATTATTTACTTTTCCCGCTATTCGCTTTATGGCCCATTATGCTGCAGAGAAGACTTACGCAGTGGAGAGCCCCATTACAAAATAGGAATGTACACATTTTAAAGAGGGTCCTGATTGAAAAGGATTTCTACCGCTATGCAAGCTTCATTGGGAAAGTACTTAGTAGGAATATAGGCAGATGGATAATGATGTTTTTGTTCTTCAGAAAGCTTTTTAACCCATCTAAAATCTCCTTCTGCCAATAAACTCATGTAGAACATTCCCCACTCTGTTTGTTATTATATTCTGGTATACTTCAGATTATTTGGAGTCATGTACAAGTAAGCTGAGTGGGTGTTTTTCTCTTCAGAGCAGATGATGCATTATTTTCACAATCATTTAAGAGGCAATAAAACAGTGTAATGGTCTGTTGCCTGTAGAGTTATGTTTTGCACACAGAAGTGAAGCTTGTGAACAGACTGTAGTTACTGTTGATGGGATGTGGTGTAGGGATAAATTTGAGAACATCATATTTACTCAAACTATTAAGCAAGAACACAGACGCAAGCTCATCAGTAAATGCATGTTTTTCTAAAACTAATGGTCTTTTCCAAATTTGAGCAACAAAATAAAAATAATTTAGCTTTATTTTTTGTTTTGTTCAATGTGATATTATTAAACTCCTGGTTGTAAACCTGGATTAATCCTTTATTTGGCGTAAAGTTATCTGGTCTACTTCTGTAATGTTTTTTTGTGCGTTTTGACCCCTTTAACACAAAGCATATATTATATGTGATATTAGTACATAGCTAAGGTATAATTAGACATGAAGGTAAATTTGGCTAGACTCCTCTAGTTATGGTCCTGGTTACATACTGTGAAAAATAAGTCATCCAATCTGAGGGTTTATTGGTGACAAATAACTATGAAATGTATTTAATCCACAGACCTTTTTGGATTTTGTTATGGTTTGTTGACCCAAATATCAGAGGCAGGGAGGCAGAGGTGATTTTCTTGTGGGTTTAATGAAAGGTTAATTGAACACAGAGGCAGGAAATCCAAAAATCCAAACATGAAAACAGAGTCAAAACAAACCAGAAACCATGGAGACATCAGGGGGGATACTATCACGAGGAGGAAGGCTCAGAGAGATGGAGTTGGAGGAAGTTAGATGAGGAACCAGCACTGAGGAACTGAACAGAGAGTGTATTTAAGGGAGACTGAAACAAAGAGAGGACTACACTGCAAAAAATTTTAATCTAGCTAAGTCATTTTTTATTAAAATAAGTGCATTTGTTCTTGAATTGAGGAGGTAAAAGAGACATTTTGCCAATGGAACAAGAGAATTTACACTTAAAATAAGAAAACACAATTGCATTGTCTTATTTCAAGTGCATTTTATCTAATTATCTTATTTCAAGAGTAAAATTACTCATTCCATTGGCAAACTATCTCATTTACCTGCTCAAATTAAGGGTGAATACACTTAATTTAAGAAATTTTTTACTTATTTCTAGATCGTTTTTGCAGTGTAATGAGCAGATTGGGAGCAGGTGTGAACAGAGCAGAATCAGGAAAGGAGCCAGGGAAAAAGGAGAACACAAGAGGGTAGCAGAGGGCAACAAACAAAAAACCTGAAGACTGAAAATTACCAGAAAGCACAACAAAATAAGAACCAAACCACTAAGACTAGAAAACAAGGAGCAAAGCAAAACTGAATACTCAAAAGAAAACCTAACAGAACCAAGAACGAGACAGTAAGTGAGAAATAACCACAGAACACAACAAAATGAGAATTAAACCAATAAAACTAGAAAACAAGCAGCAAAGCAAAACTGAATACTCAAAAGAAAAACAGAACTAGAACTCTGACACCTTTCAGCTTCCTCAAAACTAAAAAGGTTTTAAAATCAGAGATTTCCAAATCTGGCAGCTGGTACAGTGATTGTTTAGCTGTTGAAATATGATTGTTTTGTTAATGTTAATCAGGACTCTGGTCGCAGCATCTTCAATGAGCTAAAACTGCCTGCCTAATTTTGACAAAGAATGGTGAAGCCTCCACTATACTGATCTAATCGAAACAAAACTGCAATACTGTGTTCTTTCCCCATGGAAAATCTCTCACTCTGGCCTTCTTCATTGGATGGTATCAGCTAAATTTATTTCATTTTTTGTTTGTTTGTTTTAATTATTTGGATGTTAGAATTTAATTTTAACTTTATAAAAACACCTTGTTTTCTGGTTTTCAGCTTCAGTAATTGTTTCCAAATGCTCTTTTATCGAGTTACAGAAGTAAAGCAACTGAATTTACTTCTTAATTTGTCCGGCTACCTGCTAAGATAGCCATCTTCCAATCCTTTTTCTGAGAGGAGCTGTAATTGGAGTTTCTTTAGATTCCACACCATGATGGACAATGGGTTTTTTTTTTTTTTTTACTGAAACTATTTCTTTAAAGCTGAACTCATCTTTGTTAGCACTGCAACTGTAGCCCAAATGGCAGAACACAGCAACATGACATTATTCTATTCAATACACAGCAGGAGAAAACTCTGGCATTACTCTAAAACTTATTTAAAAATTGCATACACTTTTAAACCAGTTTAAAAGCACCTTGCCATATCAGCTTAAATTTAAAGCTTGTTAAAAAAAAGACACTGCAGAGAAAAATAATCTTTTTTTCCTTTAGTGGTTGAATAAAATGATATAAAAGAAATGCAGTGGTATACATCACACGACACACTGTAATTATTGTTTTAGAGCAAAGTATTTTTATTTAAGATAAAATGAAAGACTTTTTTTATTTTGTTTACCTTTCAAATATTTGGAATGAGAAATGTTTATTTCAGGCTACTAGCAATGTCCTGACTCCGTTGTTTCAATTGTAACCCTGAAATTGTTGAAGATAGAAACACAAAATATTCAAACTCATTATGAACACAGATTTAGGACTTAGGATGAGGAGAAGGCTTGAAATGGGATTTAGCTCCAACATAGGTTGTATCATTTACTGTATACTACCTAATTGTTTTTATTGCTATTACAGCCAGAAAATTACTGGGATCAACAGGAAAAATTTTTTGGTTTAATGTCCTGTTTCATATGGGCTGGAGAAAATGGGATTAAGTAGACAACCTTTAACCATCAGAGGCAAGAAATCTGAAAGAGAAATAAAGAAAAACAAGTTTAACTGAATCTGAGAAACAAAAATCTTAACAAGCAACTTATAATTAGTCTGTAAGACATTTTTTGCTGTATCATACCTGTTGGATGGAGCTGTCGATTCACATTTCTCATAATATTATAATTTTTCCATCTCTGTTCAATGAAATGTTTTGTATATTCAGCAAACCTAAAAAAAACAGCATGCTTTCAAAGAGTAAACATGGTATCTGTTTTTCTCAATATGTTACTGGCAGTAAGGAGCATAGTACAGGTGATAGCATTAGTAAAAATGGGCTGTGAACTAAGATTCAAATTTAACATTTGAGTTCATGCCCACAGGCAAAAAGACGCCATGCTTTGAACACCGGAGACTCTGCTTCTACAAATGATCGCAAAATTACTCTGGAAAACCAAGCGCACATTTAAATCCACATCAATAATCTAATCATACCTGGAAAGAAATCCCATTCTATCACTGTTTTCCAAAATGACATTTTGTATTTTTAGCTTTTGTGAGTCGATTCTTGAGAAGTACTCATGTTTTGCTAATAAGCTTACAAAGAAGGCTTCGGGCGTGACCAGAGAAAGCTCCTCTCACCTGAGCGAATGTCACGGCCATTCCTTTCTCTCTCTGTCTTCTTCTGTCTAATCCGACAGTGTTCTGGGCCTCCGCTTTACTCAGGCGAACACACATGAAAGCCCAAACAAATCTCCTCCGTAGTCCAGAGATAAGGAAGTCATTAAAAATGGAGGAGAGCTGAATAGCTGAAGAAGCCCTATGGATGAGATGCAGAATGAGGAAAATATCCTTTGTGTCTTTCTCCCTTCATTGGAGGAGCGTTAATCAGGGTCCAAGTTAAATTGAATATGGGAGAGATAAGCAAAGCAGCAGGGGTGGTTGAGAGAGAGGTGGTGGTGGGGAGCACAATCCAGAGGAGGCTGGGTCGAGGAAGAGCCTTTAAGTCTTAATGTTTTGTTTCCTGCCACATATCTCTAAGGAGAAGACAATGAATTGGACAAATAAAACTTGAAGGGATTAAAGTAATCCCTGAGACTGGGGGCTTTATTGTGAAGATCAACGCTGTTAGTTATATCTTGGGGATTATCAACACTTTGGATGCTTCGTCTAGGGGTGTGCTGCATGTAGAGTGCGGCAGAGAATCCTTTTTTTGATCTTCAGCATAGAAGTGTTTTAGTTTTGTATGGCTGTCTGACACTGAAAGAAAGAAATGAATGGTTGCATGAAGAAGCACATCTTATTTCTTTGTAGGTTCTACCTTTTTTAATGAGCCATACTGTGCTTTCCAATCTGCCAATATCATTTGAACAATCTTTAAAACAGCCAGAAGTTTAACCCTCAGTATTAATCCTGTTTCAGGACCCTTAGATATACACATTTTTTTAGATTGTCTGTGGAACTCTTATTGTCGAGATTTTCTTTTTTTTTTTCAATTTTATTAATTCTGATAGAAAATGAAGAAGAAAACAAAGTAATCCTGTTGTAGAACACAGTGCCAAAAAACAAAACTGGTGCAGACTATGGAAGAGCATTATGTGATTTATTAAACTATGGACTTACTGACCATTACCAGGCTCTGATAACTGGGAAATTATATTTCTTATGGCTAAAAAAACAAAACAAAAAAACAGCATCACATAAGAAAAGATTAACAAAAGATGAAGAAATCAAATTTCTCTCAGATTTTAAAGTGAAAATTACAATAAAAATACTTGGTCAAGCGTTTTGCATAATAATTTGTATCTTCAGCCAGGTCAAAGCTTTTTTAAATGTAGAAATTTGCAGTAAAAACCTCAGTTTAGCAACGACTTTACACAGCAGCACTACAGACAAACACACATACACTCTGCCCCTTACAGATGCTCATGGAAACTTTGTTTTAAATCAGAACAGTGAGTGGATGCTGAAACTTTATGACTCTACTGTAAAACAGCATCTTGAGCATCCTTTGATGAAAAAAGTCAAACAGCATCAAATTCAGTACATTTGCAGGAACAAAATGCAGCAGGATTGTTGGATAAACAAAATGAAGGTTTAATTATTAAGTTGGAAAAAGAAAAACAAAGCAATGAGAACAGACCTTGAGCAACGGCAGAGTTGTAGAATGGAATTATCCCGGTTGGGATCCAAGAAGACTGTAAACTTCAAAGACTACTTACGATTCTCAGATCATTACTTTTGCTCGTATCTGATATTTAAAAAATGTGTGTTAGGGAGGCGGTGTTGGTGGATCAGGAAACATGCAGGGTGTGAGGGCTTGGTGATTAAATGCAAAATAGACCAACTGAATACTAAGCTTTGCTGAAAATTGATAAAACAATAACATAACTCATTATGCCCAGGTTTTTCAGGTGATGTCAGAATATGGTTGGAGCCAACGGCAGTGCTGATTGAAAATCAGATGCAGTAAACTTGTTAAATATGAGAAGGGTCCAAACTCTGCAGTTTGTGAACATCAAGGTTCTCTCATTAAGCTACAGTGAGGAACAAAGTTGCTCAATCTGATGCTAAATGTTAACATTACTGGAGAAAAAAAAGGTAAAATCCAAATCCAGCTTCCTGGAGCGTTAAACTAGTCCAAAATGCTGCACACCAATTGAGATGGGAATCAAACAGAAACACTGGATCTGTTGTGATTGTCCCTCTGAGCACAGAAAATATTTATCCAAAGGTTGCAATTCCATGATGCCTCTGAGGATACATTGTAACCAGAATTGTCTTATTGTCAAAGTTCATCCAAAGTAATTTAAAATTATATATAAGATAAAAAAAATTTATCTATAAACAACAATATGTCCGATTTTCAAGTGATTTTATTCGTGTAAGACAGTGTAAAGGTTTAAGCTGCTAATGATGCTAATAATTAAGAGTAGACAAACAAATTATGGATCCCCACTGAGGCAGAAAGAATCTAATCAGTGCTGCCGATAACTTGCAAAAAAAACAATAAGTGGTTGAGAACCAAAGAAAGTAAAAAAAGAACCTGAAAACTACAGCTGCTGAAAATATGTGAAGCGATTAGAACCTTGTCCCTAAAGACGTTTTTATGGACCAGATCCTTGATCACAATGGAGAAAAAAAAAAGTTTTCTAACTGATGGCACAAATAAATCCAATGTCCAATTAATGATAAATGTTTTTTTTTCTCCACTGTTTTACTAGACAATTTATTTTACATGGGTGCAAAATTGCCTACATTTTATATTTTTTTTCCTTTTTTAAATAATGGGAATTATTTCATTGTTGTTATCTCAGAAAGACAATATCCTATTCCTCCAAAATCCTTTTCCAAGGATTTTTGTATTTTTAAGTTTCTACAGTATATCACAAAAAACATAATGTTACATCAAAAGACATAAACAAAGCCCAAAATGCTCATAGAGCTACTTTTCTTTGCCATTTGTGCATTTTAAGAAATAGTCCCCCTTTAGATGAATTATATAGAATTGGTTATACATAATTATTTTTTGGTAGCTTTTTATTGTTGAAAATTTTAAAGTACTTTGTGAAAATTTTTAGAAAATCAGCCTAAGTTTCAGAAGAAAAACAAAAGCTGGGGACCGTGGCTTTGGACCACAATAGATGATTAAAAGGAGGCCTGGCTAGTTAGGGGCCACATACGAAGAATGTAGGTAGTTTATATGCTTACATTTTTGAGTGCAATAAAATGAAAACAGCAGGATTCCTTGTTCTGCTTTTGAATGCATCATCTGTGAAGTTGCTTTAATTAATCTAAGAGGGTCAACTTTCACTAAATTCCCAGTCAATGAATATCAAAGACAACATGTCTTTTTAACAAATAACAGCTGGTGTTTTTACAAGCAGGAGCAAGGTTAAGTGACTCCCATAGTCTCTTATACTTATTTCCCTTCTCTTCTTTTACAGGGCTACCACAGACCGAATCACTACATCGCCACTCAAGGTGAGAGCAAAACTTTCTAAAAATGAACCCTGTATTTGAATGTGAAAGTGTGGGCGGTGAGAAATTTGGGATGTCTGCTGGTTTGTGTTTCTGTTTTTCAAACATCTCCCTGAACATCCCCATCGATGTTTACATACGCTGTTGCAAACTGCTCTTTGATGCTTAGTCAGGTGTGCGTTCGTGCAAATCTGCCGCCTCTCGGTGCTGCTCACACATATGCAAACACGCCTGCGAGTGAGCCGAGCAGCACGCTTCCTCCACCCTCCGTCTCTTTTCCTCTTTGCTTCCATCCGTGGTGTGGGAGCGATTAATCAGGCAGTCTGGGAGAGCACTGAGTGAATAAATAAATGGATTAGCTGACATGTACAGGCACATTTTGTCACTGTGTTAATCTGGCCGGCAAATTTGCAGAGAAAGGAGCTCTAATAGTGACCTGAGAGGTTAAATCTGATTGATGGTTAATTGTTATGAATTTTGCATGGAGAACCTCTCTCTGACTAAACAGTGCTGCTTCATGCTTAGGGATTTTTTTTTTAAATCAATGAAGAGAAAAAAAAATATTTTCTTCAAAAAGGACATAATGGATTCACAGTCTGCTTTAGCGGGTCTGGGAGTTGCATAATTACCTGTTTATTAGCGCATTGCCTCTCTTCCTCAGTGTCTCAATTAAAACAAGTCTGTTTGCTCTGACTTCAGAAAGACATGGCATACCAATAAGGCCAATCGGACTTGTGTGTGTGTTCTGTCTGTGAGCACAGTACCTACTGCGCCTCGCATTGACCGGCAAGTCAAACGCTCAAAACAAAGCCCTCTGTCAAGTGCTGACTCTCTGCTGCGGGCCTTCCCTTTAACAAGCACACTCGGCTCTGGAAGAATTTTCCCGTCGGATTATTGACTTCTATAAGTGTTCTGTATCCATTATGAACTCGCTTTGCTTCATTTTTAAATATGCACTTAGGGATCAGCAGTCAAAGATTTTTTTTTCAAACAGAAGGAGGAAAAGCCCCAAAAGACTAACACATTTCTTTTAATGCTTATTAACATATGTCTGTTTTTCTTTAGGCATAACAAATCCTCCATTTCTACCCTAACTGTAAAGCTTTGCATGAATTCTATCTCTCGTAGTGCCTTGAAAAAGAATGAATACACCATAAAGCTATCCAACTGGATTATCTCACATGCGTACACAAAGTTATTGTAGCTTATTGAGATTTTATAAGATAATGAACAAATCAAAGTAGATTTATGAGATGTAAAGGGACATCTTATCAAAAAATTTTCATACACAAAAAAACAAATTAAATTTGGTCGCCATGTATCATCTCTATAACTGTAGCTCTGGCTGTATGTCTAGGCTGTTTTCATGTTGGATCTGAAGTCAGAGCTTGAAATTTAATATAACATCACACGTTAGAAACTAGAAGAAAAATAACTATTTTTTGTGTTGCTAACTAGTGAGAATACAGTAGAAAAAATATTTATTTCTCACAATTTTGTCTATTAAAGCACAAAAGTAATGTTTGGATTCTTATATATTTGCAGCACTATTCTACTTTTTCCAGGTTCAAAATGATAATAACCATTAGAGGTGCTATCAATATTTTCTCTACACTCTTCAATATTAAATATGCTACTACAGACTAAGTAACATTTGAGCTCAGACCTAATCAGACAGAAATCTGACTTTAGTTGAGTTGTCGTTGTTGTCTTATTGTTCTCTTGAAAAAAAAAACTTGCCAATCTTCTGAAAGCTGAACCTATTCCCCCAGTCCCAGTCTTTTTAATCCCCTTAGTATGATGCTGCCACCACCATGATACACATATGTAGTGCTAGTTTTTTTAGTTTTGTCAAACCAACCAGTTTATTCTAACAAGATCACATTTTCTTTTCCATGTATTTGCTGCATACCTAACTCAGTTTATGGAAATTTAGAGTCTTTATTGCTTTCCTCTTAACTATCTTTCATAAAAGAAATTTTTAGAGTATGT